CAGCTTCAACCGTCTGTTTGTTGAAAAATAGTAATGGACCGCATTTTCCTGTCAGTAACTGTAACGGCGTTGTAATGATAGGAATAGTAATTAGTTAGATTACTCGTTACTGAAAAAAGTAACGCCGTTAGTAACGCCGTTATATGTAACACCGTTATTCCCATCACTGAATATGATGTACCTAGATTCTAAAATTAATAAATAAACAAATATTTCCTGTTGTTATGGCGCTTACAGCATTTAATTAAAGTGGTGCAAAGATTTAAAAAGCGTGAAGAGTAACGTGAACTGAACATTTGGTGTAGAGCTTTAGGTTATCTACAGTCTATATTCAAAAAGAGTAAAGAAATTCACATTTTTTGCATGGTCTTGAAGAAAATAACACAAAAACATATTTGCCTTTAAAATTTAAATAATTAGAAATGTAAAAATAATGCACTTTTTTGTATTTACATTTTTGCATAAATATACTACATATATATCAGTACGATTTTTAGAGATGAACTATAACAGTAATGTGTCTGTGCAGGTTCTCAGGTCTAAGGAGTTTGGAAAGAAAAGCAACTGGACTTTTTAAAGTTTCTTGTAGACTTTCACCTCTTACTTGAGAAGTTCTTCAGCTGAAACATCTTTAAGAAGTCCAGTCACCTTTCTTTAGATAACAGTAATGCAAAAAAAACCCAAATGACTAAATGATACTTAAACTGTTAATCTGATCTTATTCTGTTACAGCAACAGTCCAGCTGCACTTTGTTTTCTCTTCCTGTGTGTGCCCAAATGCAGGAGATTTAGAAATTGGCAATTTAACTTGGACACTTGAATGTTGTATGAGCAACAGAAAACAATTCACACTGAAAATTGTGGCTCAAAAATTGGACTCGTTGGACTCGATGTACAGCTCAGAAACATGTCCTGGCACCAATTACAGAGAGCGAAAGTGTTTGAATTTCTCTCTAGCGGTAGAAAATGGTAAGCACTGCAAACCAGCACATTCTTTAAGAAATACTTTAAGCACACATGCAGTGTTATTTTCTCTGATGAATCTTTATATATTTTGGTTTTGTGTATCAGGAATTATAAAGGTCTCTGTAAACGATACAGTTTGTAAGGAAAACTACACTCAGCCTGAATGCCACCCAAATGTCACTTTCAACAAAACAGCTGTAAATCTTCCACAACAGTATGTTTCATGTGTACTCAATTACTGAATACAAAGATTCAGTATATTTGGTGCCACACATGCTTTCAATAAATCACCTGTATATTTTCCTCCACAAAAGGAATGGAAATACCAGCTTTAACATGTCATCAAAGAATGGCATGAAAGTAAAGATTAAATTTCAATGTGCTGAATACCCTGCTGCTAACAGTAAGCTCTACCCAACACAGTAAAATTGCTTAAAGACTGCATTTAACGTAGTGACATGGAGTTGTACAATACGTGTGCATTACATTTTTAAAACCTACTCTCGATTTTTGTGTCCAGTCAGTCTACACAACAAAAGTAAAAGTTGGATTGATGCCTTGGAGGACTGCCAGAAGGATCATTTCTCCCTGGTTGAGATCTGCGAAAAGAAAGTAAGGGATGATGTGAAAAGACTGCTAAATAAAACAGACTCAAAGATGGGTGTGTGGATTGGACTGCAAAGGTCCATTTTTGGCTACAGTCCTGAGTGGAAGTGGATTTCAGGGTATGTTGTAAAATCACAGTTGAATAGAACTTCGTCCACCAACTCTGACTTTGACAACCACTGTGGAAAAGTCGTCTTTGATAATAAGACAAAAGAAATCCAGTGGTCCAACGACGACTGCCATGAAAAATTACCATACATTTGTCAAAGTAAGTTGCTGTTTTGTTGTCCAGTCAGACTTCTTCACCTGGTTTTTATGAAATCTTCTTGTTTTTGTTTTTTTCTTTTTCTCCAGGAATGAATGAAAAGCCCTGTACTGATGAATATACAGAGAAGTCAGGTATATCTACCAAAATGTTTTCTAGCCTGTAGGCATAAATTGACGTTTTACTGTATATTCTGCATCTTTTTTTTTTATCTGTGTGACATGTCACTGTAAGCTGCAATATTTACATATAAGTAGATGTATAAAGGTCAATGGGAAGTTTAAAATGAAGCCATTCCACTCTGCTTTTTATATATTTTTGAATTAATATTTGTGTTTTGGGCCACAGAGCTTTTCATTGACATTGACTGAACTGATAGCACCAAAGAAAACGATTCGCAGCGTCTCAATCATCATCACATCAAGGTGAGATTCCTGGAGAAGCAGATGGATGACCCAGCAAACCCAATGTGTATATATGCTGTTTGTATGTTTGTATGCTGTAGTGTTGTGTTTCACAGGAAAACTACTTTAGTTACTATCATTTGCAAGCCTTGTTAAATTACTAGTTTACCCACCACTTCTCAGAAGTACTTGTATTTGTCAAAGATGCTTCTATGTAAAGAGTCGATGTATTATTTTTGTCATTAAAAACCTAAATATCTGGCTAATTTAACTGAGCGGTTATAAGAAATAACATTTTCTTTTTCTCTCAAACAAAAAACTAAAGAATATTCATTCTGTGCTAATAATAAAATGTAAAGTTAACAAAATGCAAACTGTGTTTATTTCAGCGATGTCTTGATTCAAGAGATAGTGGGGTATACCAATCTGTCACAGACACCATTCACACACTTAGGGTGAAATCTGTCCATATTTACTTTTGACTTTACTTCTTTTTATGCCCAAGAATGTTACCATGTTGTTGTCAGTTAAACTAATGTGTTGCAAACTATTCGTCCAGCTGTTTGTTTTTAGTAACACTTAAACTCACCATCACCAACTTTTACCAATCTTCAAAGTATTTACCCGACCTTCCGATTAGCTCAAGAACAGCGCATAGAGAGCGTCATGGAATGGGTTTCCATGGCCAAGCAGCTGCATCCAAGCCTTATGTCACCAAGTGCAATGCAAAATGTCAGATAAAGTGGTGTAACGCACACTGCCAATGGACTCTAGAGCAGTGGAAATGTGTTCTCTGGAGTGATGAATCATGCTTCTCCAACTGGCAATCTGATCAATGAATCTGGGTTTTGTTCTGACTGTATCGTGGGTAAGAAAGAATTAATGTTTCAGCATACCAAAACGTTTTGGACAATTTCATGCTGCCAACTTTGTGGAAACAGTTTGGAGATGGCTCCTTCCTGTTCCAACATGACTGCACACTAGTGCACAAACTTGACTGGTCTACACAGAGTCCTGACCCTCGACCTGAACACCTTTGGGGTGGATTACAGCAGAGAGTGTGAGCAGTGCCTTCTTGTCCATTATCAGTGTCTGACCTCACACTTGCTTGCATGATCAGAAATGACCATAAACACTCTTAAACCCTCCAGAAATCCTTCCCAGAAGAGTTGAAGATGTTATAGCTACATAGAATGGGCCGACATAATAAAGGATTAGGATTCAACTGTATTGTCATTACACATGTACAATTACCATCCGGGTTGTTGTGTGTACACAACAACCGAGTGTACTTAAAACTTTACAACAGCGTAGGCACAGGTCAAAATCATGCAAAAGGAAAAACAATACTTTATTTGAAATTGTTTGTTTTATGGATCTGTTTCGATCGCTGTACAGAATGGGGACTATATCGATTTCCTTAAGGTGAAATGTCAGTGTCAGTTATTGAAAGTATTAAGTTGAGGGTTAATGCAGCAGCAGAAATCATGTGGCGGTGAATGAACTGGTTATTTATTACCAGCTTCTGTACCTGATGACATAAAGGAGACTTTATTCAGTATACCTTGGTTACATACCTAATTTGTTTATAAGATCAAAATAAAAACTGATCAGGATATATTTGCTTCCTGTTTGACTAGGAACACTCTCTAACAGTAACGTCACTGTCTGTGGAAACAGAGACATTTTCTTTTTAGGAGAAAATGAGAAAATAGGACAAATATAATAATATAATAAAGACAAAATGGAAAAATAATTTACAGTAGGAATAAATATTTTAAAAGCTGTTCATCTGTTAACCTGGCTAAGAAGCTCTTAAAGCCTTCAGATTTTAACAACTACAGTTTGAGAGCAAACGCTGAGTTAATGTGGTGTGCATTCATGAAACAGGTTGGAGGGGATTACTGATCTGTCTCGGCGGGGTGCGCTGATAAGTTTCGTTTACAGGACCCAGAAGCAGACACTGAAAGGCGGAGTTGCTGGCTGAACAGAAGATGATCCTTTATTTGGATGTTGGCACATGAAAAAGCATGAAGCTATGAAATCTAAGAAAACTAAAGGACTAAGAAACTCAGTGAAAATACTATGACAAAACACTATGGACATGCAAATAGACGACCTGACAACGAAACATAGAAAACAGAGGACTTAAATACACACATGAGGTGATCAGGGGAAGTCGAGACACATGAGGAAACAGCTGACAAGGATGAACATAATGATGCACAGGAAATGTAAACTCAAACACAATGACATGAAAACTGGACTTTCAAAATAAACAGAAAAACATGACAAGACAGGCATGGCAGCATCAACCAGAAACATGACACAATAAACAACAATGGGAACATTAACACATGGGAACACCACTGACACACATGAACCTAATAACAAGGTAGGGGAAGGGAACCTAAATACAATGAACAAAGAACATACTGGACTCTTACAACATAACACAGGAAACATGATGAGGCAGACCAAACAACATGGGCTTGACACATGAGACATGAAACACAAATGGCAGGTGAGACCAAAGCCCAGGGAAAGGGGAAATGCGGGGATCAATAACAAAACTAAGGCTGAACCACTTAGGGGTTTTACAGGAGCTAGATGAGCTTAACCCAAACAATAAATGACAAAACATGAAGCCTCAAGTTCTAACTAATAATACAAAACAAGAACCTAACATTTCCCCATACTAATAAAAGAAATACACAATATATCATGAACTCAAAATACTGGGTCACAGACCCAGCCCATGACATGATCACAGGAAAACCTCCATTTAAACTAATAATGTGTAACAAAAAAACATTTTTTTGTGGATGTTTTGCTTTAACAACATTTAAACAACATTTAAAATCAAAATGTTTTCTATATCAGTCAAGTTGATTCACCTTATTAAGTTTGTAATACTGCACATCCACAGTACCTTAGAGGGGAAAAAAGCATCATTATTCCATTTGAGGAAGATGAGAACACATTTGTGTTTATTTAATCAAAAATGTGATAATATAAAGAGCAATATAAAAAGTCACACCTGCCGACATTTCTCTGAGTTATCATTCTGGAGAAAGACAGCACGCCAGAGGACAGTGGGGAGGTTTATTCAAACACTTTGGATATTTAACAGTCATCTCTGCAAAGACTGGAAGCACTGAAGGTGAACGTTTTATTTATAAACTCTTAATATGTCAATTCCTTCTCAATTTTCTACCTTTTTTTTCTTTTGCATGTTACAGACCATGGCACGTCTGATTCATCTATCATTACTGCTAGGTATGTTTCCAACGTACAGGTCATCACCTAAATGCAAACTGTACTCAGGCCTGATGTTATCTTCCTGTGTTACAGCAGTGAGCCAGCTGACCTGTATTTCAGCCATACGAGACTTTCCAGATGGAGGAATCAAATTTACTCCCTATGACCTGTGCCCTGTTGGAGGGAATATTACACATGTTTGCAATTGCACGGCTGGAAAGTGGATATGGAAATTTAAATGTTGTGGGCCCACTGCTAACCAAGTCACCCTGGAAGCAACTGCCACAGCCAATTACACTGAGACAGAGGACTGTACTAATAAATGCCGTAAAATCACATACAAAACAAAAATGTTTGTTTTGTCTGTGGAGGTAGAAAATGGTAAGAAATCTAAAATTCACAACACATTAAAAATGATTTTATCGCTGGTTTAAAGTCGGCTGACTGACTTTAAAATGAAATCTAAGAACTTTAAAACCTGATGCATATTATATTGTTTATAGATGAGCATTCATGTGTTTTGTTTCCATGTACCAGGGTATTTAAATCATATGAGTGACAATAAGATCATTTGTGAATCTTGCCCTGGAACTTCAACTACTGCCGGCACAAAGTGTTTCAGCTTTAAAAAAAAGTAAATATATTTATATCAGTTTTTAAATATGATGATGAAGAAGATGCAGATTGGTACCTCATAGGCAAAAT